TGAAGAACAGACAAGAGGAATATAGAAATATATTCTATCTCTGAAGAGAGAGTAGGTACTTCACCATTGTCTGTAAATTTACATTGTCTGTAAATTTTATACATTATTCTGCCCCCCCTTTTTAACCCATTCTGCTAGTCTCCATCTTCTTCCTTTTTTACAATGCTCTATTCAATGTGGAGAGCTGTGAAGGACCAAAGAACAGAAAACTTTCTGACACCACTAGCCATCCAATCTCCAAGTAGCACTACCCATTGTCTGCCTGCTGATTGTATAGACTTGTATAGATTGTATAGATCTTGTCGACACATGAGTTAGGTTTCTGTATTTCTTTTCAGAAGCTGTGCTGAGAATTTCCTAAACTATTACCAAAAGTAAAAAAAAAAAAAAAAATGGAAATAGTATCTCCTGCATTGGCAAAAATCTCTGTGTTTTCATTTTCTCCCTTCCTCTTACTTCGTTCTTTGTAATTGCTGCAGTTGATGCTACAACCATTGAAGGATTACTGTATGTTTGTGTGCTGTTCTTATAAACATGAAATTTCTAAGAACATGAAGCAATAAGACTGACACCCTTGGTTCGTTTGTTCAGACCTGGTTATTGAGGCATAAATAGTGTGCTGTATAACACCATGAAATGACCTAGGAATGCTTATAATACACAGGTACAGTGAGACCTAGAAAAACGGAGTACTCAGTGTTAAAACAGAGAACCAGCACTACCTGATTTCCTTGCCCTGGTCTTACAGAGCTTTGGCAAATATCATAGGATTTTCCCTTTCTGCAGGATGGAGTTCCATATGTGACTACCTCGGGGGAATATGCAAAGCTGGAATATTAACATTAAAAACCCACAAGCTTTCATCTTCATTTTTCCCTCCTTCCTCCCCGCCCCTCAAAAGAGCTTTCACCTAACTGTGCATTAATTTTAAGCTGTCATGGGTAAAAGTCATTGCTGCATTTTATCTGGTTTTGGTTTAGGAGTATGAAAACAATATGAAAGTGCATAAAAAAATGACACATTAAATGATCCCCTGAGTCACTGTGGTCCATCACCTCATATTTAATTACATTTAAAAAAAAAGAAGCATACACTTGAACTGATAGAGCACAATGGTTGCTTTGGTGCTGCTGTAGACATTCACATAAAGACTTAAAGAAACATATGAATTACTAACCTGACAGGCCATGACTGTAACCTAAAATAGCCATTATGGTCTCTACTGTGGGTTCTTCTCATTTCATGGACCCCTGACACAATGGATGGAAACAAGACAGAGGTTTATAATAGAAATGCTGACACAACCTTACCTATAGCTGTGCAAATGGTGTCTCTATAATTAAACTTTACAACTTCAGCACCACTAGATAAGTTGCTAGCTTTTAATCATATTAATCAGAGCTTGGATGTTTCAATTGCCATATATTATCACGCAGTGTGCACTATAAAAATAAAAAGGTTCTCAGCCACTAAAGATCACAGCTGTTATGAAACACAGAAGTATATCCAAATGCTTCTCTGTAAGTGCAAATACACTGAAGGAAAACCTCAGTCGGTTATCCTTTTTTTTGTTTGTTTGTTTTCTAATATATGGGTTCAACATAATAGCCACAGAAAGTACTCTGAATACATTACAAGAACAGCACCGAATAGTAAAAAAGCTTCATTAAGATCTGCCCTGTTTCAGATTTTCCTATCAGCAGTAAAACAAGTCTACTGTCTTCAGTGATAATGACAGTCAGAAGCCTGCTCTTTCAGAGGGAGGCACTGAGATTATTCTTCATGCACTGCTGTTTAAAAGCCAGCTCTCCAGCGACAGCAAGGAGTGGGTGGCAAAACTCTCACTGCTTTCAGTGGTCTGAGATTTGGAGCCTGGGAATGTTTTATGTAAATATTTCTCTTCACATTTTCTCTTCATTTGTCCGAGTGATTTACAGCTTTACTTCGGCAATGAAAGTTTCCTCTCAAAGAAGCTACATCTGGTGCAAACTGAACAGATATTGGATAGGAGCTGAAACCCTCTATTTTTACCAAGCGAGTATTGCTAACAACAATAAAATTAATCTATAAATAAAACGTGGTTGCTTACTACTCTCTATTATCCTGAATTTGCAAATCTTTGTATGCTGCATGGCACTTTACATGTACCATGTGATACATTCCCACACTGTCAATGCCTGCTCTTTTACACCACCAGTTTTATAACACCTTCTGTAGACAAATGAGCTTTCCTTTAAGATGGGTGGTGCAGTTATGTAGCCTGTGTGTCACAAGGGGTCTTTTAAGGAATCAATAGAAAGAGCATGCCTGTAATTATGTGTGGCAGAACAGAGTATGCCATGGACATGTCTAAAAATCATAAGAGCTGTAGCAATGCATAGGAGTTGCCATAGTGTTATTCTGACCCCTGAAGGATGGAAACAGAGTTAACTTCACATTCTTTTTTTTCCAATTTACTCAGTATACTCTATGAATGTCAAACTCTAAACTACATTAGCAGGATTTATTAGTGCTTATCCTCCAGAAATATGAAAATAGTCATGAACTAATGGTGAACCAACTTTAAAATACTGATGTTTCCAGGGAAGCGGAGAAAATTATTTTTCAGGCTAGTTGTAGGCTGAAATTACCATGAGTTTGAAAGTGCATTAAATCTAGTAGGTATGTGAAGATCATGTTTATCAAGAGATGTAAAACTCACTCTGCTCTCACCTCTTCTTAACCGAGAAATATTTTAGTGGCATTTTGTTAGAATGAAGTCAGAGTGAAGTGGGGAAGGACATAGGTCAGTGATGATAAGATCACTCATTTCAGCTGAGTTAAGATTTCATCAGGCTTACATTTTTCAGAAAATGCATCTGTTAGAGGTATGGGGCCTCAGCAGTGCCTTTGTGAGCTTATCTGTCTTCAAGGAGTGCACTTCCTCCTCCTCCCCCTGAACAGATAGGAAAAGTGATTCAGGATTCTAAAATGGGTATTAAGGCATATCTTGATACTACTATCTTTGTGGACAATTTGCTAAAAAAGTCCATCAGAGTTAAACAGATGGGACTCCTGTTACACCTTTGCTCTTCACCTCCTTACTTCTGAGATGCTTGAGATGTGCTAATGGACCACCTTTTAGTTTCCTGTAAATCTAACAGGTATATTAGACTGTTGTATCTGACAATACTTTTTTCTAAAGTCAGTCACGCTGTATCCTAACACGCTGAAGCAGCACCCTGCCAAAGCTGTGAGGCAGTCACTGCACACCCGGAGAGAGAGACAACGCTGTCTATGCTGTGCGCTCACACTCAGGGCAAAGCGGCACCAGCGCTGCCTGCCTTGAGCACTGGAAGAGGGGTCAGCAGAATGACGTGCTTGGAGGTAGGCGACGGCGAGGGGGGAGGAGGAGAATCAATTTTAATTTCGGCTTTGTTCCTCCTTCGCTTAGCTGTTGCCATGCACCGAAGTTCCAGGTTGCGGTGTGACCTTGCCGAGGAGCGCGCAGCCCGGGCTGCTCAATGGGACCATTGTGCAGCCTTGCAGGGGCTCTTCGGGAGCCCTCTCCCCGGGTGTGGCTGAACCAGCGCCTCGGCAGCCTCCTCCTCCTCCGTGAACTCCCTGTCCCGGGGAAACTCCGCCAGCAGCACGCTGATGCAAAAGGCAGCCTGCAAGAGGCAAACCCCTTGTCAGGAGCTGAGAAAGGATCTCCCCTCCTCTGCCCAGGTCTCCATCCCCCGCTGCCGGGAGTGCCACAAAGTTAACCCAAGTGATCGATACGCTATAGGAGCATATTATTCCACTATCGGCGACTGATGCCACTGATGTAATCAAGTTACATAATCGCCGTCTTTGCACAAACACATCCATCTTCCTACAGACAGATCTGCATATCTTCTTCCATCCATTATGCATGAACCCACCAGCAGTACATAAGGGTACATATTTTCACACACACCATGTAACTTTAGCATTGCAGTGCATTGCACTGCACAACGTCATCACTATCGATTCCTTAACCTTCCCCCATTCCTTCTTATCAGAACTGATTTAGCGGAGAAAGATTACCTATGTGCATTGCTCGGATTCCTTTATATCTTTAAAGGCTGAAGTGGTTCCCTTGCTCACTTCTGTTCCTAAGAAGATGATCTTTCCTTTTTTTCCCTGTCTCGCTTCACACCACAAGTAACAGGAATGAATTCCCACACAGTCCCTCAGCCAGATGCATGTATGTACGAAATATCGAAGAGAGCATCTCTGTTTGCACATCTTCCAACTCCCATACACGTGGTCTGAGCTTTCAGTAGGTAAGTTATTGGGTGAAAAAAATATTTTGTAAGAGCAGCTGGATGAGAGATTTTCAGGCTAGTGATATTTACGGTATTTCTCTACTATCAGGCTGAGAGGTTTTTTGTCCTTACTGTCCCTCAGTTAATAATTTCCTTGCAGGAACAGTTGCAATCCCAAATTACCAGTGGCATTTAACCCGTTTAGCACCAGTGCACTGTACCACGATCAATAAGGATCACCACCTTAAAGTTTAACAACTTGAAGAGCAGGATTTCTCTACCTCCATTGCAGCTATGAAATGCAGCAGAACGCTGCACAGAGTTGGAAACATTTATTTAACCAGCGGATGGGCTCCGAGCTCATATTAATTAGATTCCATCACGGAGAGCTTCTTCATTAGCACATACCCTTTTCAGTCAAATACATTACAACAGGGAAGATTAAAAAAAAATAAATAATAGGGAAAATTAAAGACTCCTTGCTTTTACAGTACTCCCTCAAACCCAGAGGGTGCATGAAGAAGGGAGGAGATTTTTAATTAATTTTTTTATTTATTTATCGCAAAAAGCACTCACCAGAAGAACTACTGCAGTTATTCCACTTAACTACCAATAGCGACTGGAGCCCCCTCGCATCAGGGTAATGCAGCAATCCCGAAAGTGCCCATTTCAGTCACCCGCCACCAAGTTTAGCAATGCAGGGCTTTTGCCTGGATAAAATGACCTTACCCACAGGAGTCTCCCGAAATATCCCTCCGGTGCGATCAGTCAGCGAGGCGAGTGCCGGTCACCACACTGCGCACTCGGCCGGAGAAGCCCCGTGTTTACTCCTGGGGCTGAGCTGGCCGCGAGTGCCGCGGACGCGGTGCCCATCCATCCACCGCTGCCAGCTCCGCCGCGGGCGCAGGTAATTCCATACAGACTTCAGCGGCCCCCCCCGCCCCCCCCGAGTCGCCCCTTCCTTCCTAGTTCAGAAAGTGCCCGCGTCGCCGGCGGGAGGTACCATCCAGGTGCGGCTGGGGGGGGAGGGGGGAAGGGGGCGGCCGGCCTGGGGGCCCCCGCGCCGCCCGCGGGCAGCTCCGCGCCCAGCGCGCCGCCGAGGGCCAGATCCCGGCTTCCCGCACAAGTATCCGGCGAGCGACGATCCGGAGGGGTTTCCTGGTGCTGGGAAAGCGCTGCGGGGGGGGGCGGGGGGAGTGTGCTTGCCGGGTCCTAGCACCCGCACCGCAGCGCAAAAAAAAAAAAAAAAAAAAAAAAAAAAAACAACCAAAAAAAACCCCACACCTTTTTCACTTGGAATTACAGAAATGCAGAGTAAGCAAATTCCAGAGTTTTTCACAGCATTGTATATGATGGAAGTGGGGAAGAATGGGATCATTAAAACTCTGCATTCTTTTGCCAACTCAAGATGAAAATCTGTNTCCGGAGGGGTTTCCTGGTGCTGGGAAAGCGCTGCGGGGGGGGGCGGGGGGAGTGTGCTTAGAAAAGCCATAAACACAGGCTGAATGCTAAAAAAAAAAAAAAAAAAAAAAAAAAACCAACCAAAAAAAACCCCACACCACCAAAAAAAGATGGTGGGGGAGTGGGAGGTTTGGGGGGTAAATTCTCCAGACGCGGAAAAGAAGAAAGGAAAAAAAAATTTTTTAGTTGTCCGCTTGCCCCGAACGATACTAATCCCCGGTGAAAATGACAAGTGATCAGCAAAGAAGAGGAGGTCTTGATTGATAACCACAATCCACCCAAAATATCCTCGGGAGCAGAGGAAAAGAGGGAGGGAGGGAGAGGGAGAGAGAGAGAGAGAGAGAGAGAGGCGAGAGAAACTGCAGTGCATAGACGATCCCTGTGTTCCTACGAGCCGGGCTGGCTCGCTCGGCGGAACGCGCCCTCCGCCGGGCCGGCAGGAAGGGGCCGGCACTGCCCCCCGATGGACAGCGCCGCACTCGCCGCTCCGCGACGGCTCCGGAGGAGGGATCGTGCTGGGGGGAGCCGGGGGGGAGGGCTCTTCGGAAGGGATCCTGGAGAAACTCCTGGGTGGTGGGGCCTCCTTCCCTCCGCCCCGGTGCCGCCCGCCTCCCGCGCCGCCTCTGCCCGCAGCGCTCCGCGTCCGCCCGGGACGGGGCTGGGGCAGGGAAGGGGCGCGGGAGGATGAACGCGACACGCGCGGGGGTCACCCTTCTTCTCTTCTCCTCTTGTGCTTTATTTTATTTTTCTCCCCACCTTCCCCTCCGGTTTCCGAAGCGAAGTGTTTTAGGAGAGATGATACATTATCTATTCTTGGATTTTTATAAGGCAAACTGTGGGCCTCGCTGTTGCCATGGGATCTTCTTTGTGCGAACTCTCTGAACTGTGTGGGAACAGTTTTATTTCCTTCCCTTCAGATTTTTGTCGGTTTTTTTTCTCTCCTTGTCTTCTGTAACTCTTCGGAAGATATGTATCAAAATGTAACTGTATTATTGCCAATTAAGATTAACAGCAGCTGCAAGGTGCATCTAATTAGGAATGTTAATTACTTCATGAAATAAATAGTCATTTGCAGATGTTTATTACACTAAACAAATGTTCTGTAAAACATAACTCTCAAATTCTGACGCTCCCCCCAATAAATTTGATCCCATTTCTGCACAAAGTTGCAAGGGAGTAGGCACCCCTCATCCATAGCATTAGTCCTGCAGGTGCACACTCACAGGGAAGAGAGACACAGAGTTGCCTGTTAGTAGGTACGTGGTTGGGTCAGAGGCATTTTGTACTCTTACAACCTGTTGTATGGGGTGGGAGTGTGGAGAAGCAGGAAATATCTATGCAATGTGAGATAAGCAGATAAGTAACTGTACATATTTATGTCTATGTAAATGGCATTCTCCAAAACAGGGAAACAAAACAACCAGGCAACATCCAGTTACCTCTTAATCCATCGTGGCTTCCTTTTAGGGCCACAGAGAAAAATCCAAACTGCACCAGTTGTTAAACCCCCAATATTTTAACAAGAGAAGAGAGAAAAGAAAAAGCAGCACGTGGGAGAGCGTGATTTTATTACGGAACATGATAAAGGATTATCGATAGGCAGATAAAGTGCCATGCAGAGTCAGTGGGTTGCAGGAGAGGTGGGAGCTATTGCAGAATTTGTGAAACTTGCTCACACCCCACCCCACCTCTCCTTATGATAATATAATGACATTCTTCATGTTGGACAAAAATTAGAAGAAACTAGAAATGAATGCAGCAACCAGTAGTCAAAATTCAGTGTTAAAACACGAAAATTAATGTGACTGTTAAACCAGCCATTCAGATACTACTATGATGAGTGATCCATATGCGTAGGCAGGTAAAAGTGGCATGAAAAACTTCATGGGATTCTCTTTGTGGATCAGTACAGGGCATTTTAAGTTAGCTAAATGACTCATACCATCTACTTTAGAGAGCTGGTTTGGGTGCTTGATTTAGACACCCAAGCATCCTAGCTGTTTGACAGAGTGAGAGGAAGGGAAAGAGAGAGGGGCTCCCAACTTTGATTTTCATTATCCTTTGACAGAGCTGCTTTCTCACCATGGAGGTGCTACAACAGACTTCCAGCACAGGCACCTCCACTATGGAACTTCAAGAGGGTTCTTCGTGCCTGGACAGAGCAACAAATGCTTGAGGCTGTTCGTGCTCAGCAATGAGCAGAGAGTAGGAAGGAGGTACATGGGGCTAATGTTAAGGTGTATTTGCCTTCAGTTCCTGGTGCTTTACAGATATCTCTTCCACTGATAACCAAGTTATTTAATCTCTCTGTCCTTTTGTTCCTTCACTGTATAATGTGAATTAACACTGTTCTTATGAATAAAGGTGCAGTGAAGATAAAAAGGCATTAATGTTTTTAGGTGTTCTTATACAGCAGTCATGGGAGCTATAAAAATTCCCAGAGAAGCTGATTAAGGGTCTGGCAGGAGAAAGGGAAAATGAAAAAGGGTGGAAGCCAAACTAATAACACAGAAAAGCTGTAGACCATTCACACGTGCAGAATACAAAGCACCTGCGTTCTTGAGTTAAATTTGTCCCTGGGTTAAAGAAACTGGATTCAGTTCATTTCTCAGTTATGGAATTGTTATGAATAGCAATGCAGTTGTATGAATGCAAGTATAAGAGGTTTTAGATTTAATTTTTTTCTCAGCCATATACCTAATCTCTAATTGGCTTCATCCTCACATAACTAGGGTTTGTACAATACAGAAGGAGATCTCCTTTGTCCTCATCATGACTTGAGTTTTTTCAAGATATTTCACCAAAGAGAAAAGCAAAATCTTGTGGTTTTCTAAACATTGTTTTAATTCCATGACATTCAATGCATGCTGAGTGGTTTAATATGAATGAGTAGTGTATCTTGTGTGTACTATGTGTGTGATCTTGAGGCATTATATCCCTTGAGATAAGGAAGAGGCACAAACCACATCTTCATCTATACTTCAGTAAGTGTCTTTAAAGGGATCATTGCATTTAATGTGTTTTAAGGAAAGTGAAACAGCGCAGTCAAAGTAAACTTCCTTTTCTAAAAGTAATACATATTTAAAATGAAAGGGCTGACAGAGCATGTGGCTCTGAAGAATGCTACCATCGTGCACAATGCTTTTTGTTAGTAAATCCATTCTGCTTGGATGGGCACCAGCCAAGAGCTGATACCACCTCTTAGCTGCAAGGTGTCCTTCAAAACCTCATAGCCTCATGCTTACCCTGCTGGCAAGTCTGTCCAGAGGGTCCGAAGACTGGTAGGTCTTTCACCATCTACCTGTGGATTTAGGTAGTAAATAGTTTTCCATTTCTGTATTTATTCCCCACTTTTTAACAAATGCTATGGGAGAAACAGACTAAGTACCACAGTAAAACATCAGCACTCGCACATTCTCATCCTGAGTGTGCATATAGAATAGAACTATGACACGATATAAATCTAACAGCATGCAAAACAAGCATAATTTTTTAGATTAAAAATGTAATGAAATTAAAACTCCAAAATATGCTTACACTCCCCCACTAAAAATACCAAACAGAAGCCCTGCTCCTGTAAAAATCTACATCTGAACCTTGTAACCCTGTAAACTGCATTCTCAATCCAATTACTGAACAGTTTCAGTAAAGAAAAAGGTCAGCATTTTATCTATTTCTTTCTTTTCCCCTTTTCAAAACAAAATTTCATTGATTTTATTACAAAATGCTTCCCTTTTTGTCCGCTTCTGACATGACTAAGTGGTCTGGAATGCTTCAGAGAGAACAAGGTAAAACCTGAAATCTGCTATGTGATTAACTTCTCTGTTCTCCTTGAATTCTTTTGTATATTTTATATTTGTATATTTTATATTTTTAATTTTATACGTCTTAATTTATATGTACTTACATTTCATTTATTTTATGTGCTTTATATAATGTACATTACATATTACATATTTTTATTCAGTCAAGACAAAAGTGTTCAAGAAAGCATATATTTTAAAAAGAATAATCCCTAATTCCATGTCATGTGAAAATTTCAAAAGCAATTTCCTTTACAGAGGAGCCTGATTCTAAAGAGTACATATCTAGTCATGGAATAATACTCATCTCATAATGAAGATACTTAATCACAGAAAGTCTTGTTTATAGTCTTAATTGCAATTCTGTTTTTCTTTTCCTGAACCTCATGTACCTTTTCATGAGTATAAGCACGCTGTATTCATTGCTGAGCTGTATTGTCCCAAATGCCACAGTTTTACCATGCTTTTCTTGTTGGTACCATTCTTGTGTGACTAATTCAGCAGCTTTGTGCAGAGCATGTCAGACAGCTCAGGCTATTTAGTGCACAGCTCTGCCAGGGTCTTGCTGCCTCTCTGTGCAGCCCAGACAAGCCTTCTGTGTCGGGTAGTCATCAGTTGTAGGTGGCCTGAGCAAAGCACTACGG